ATGGATTTTGGAGGTTTTAGGATTACACAAAGGAAATTTGAGATTTTTGAGATGAAGAAAAGTATTTTTAATTTTAACATGAAAATTACTTTGCACGCGGACTATTCAAAACGTTTTATCAATATATTCATGGACAAAACTTTATTTTATTTTATTAAAATTACTTCATTAAAAAACATGACTTTTTTGTATGTGAAAGACTTGTAATATTAACTAAAAGACTGCCAAATTTCGTGAAGATATACCAGATATATTGAGAGTTATGAGTATTAATTTATAAAGACTTTAAATGAGTACAAAAGGTCACATGACTCGGTCAAATTGACCAACCCTGTAGTGAGAGGGTTAAACTTGTAGCAGTATACATCTATATATAATTAAGTTTTATTGTTTTATTTCCCTTTGGACCGTGTCTTACAACTACTCGCACCATTATAAGTTGTAAATCACTTGGGCAACATGGAGGTCATGTCACTCTATCAAGTTACATTACCCACGAGCTGCTTGCATGCATGCATGCCTCATAAAACATTTATATTGAATTATTATCAGTATTTATTTTACCTAATCTAACCTTAACTAAACTAAAGAGATCATATTTTTTACATTTTACTTACTTTTATAATAATAATTAAAGAATAAACATGAAAAGCAAGAAATAAAGTACTTACAAGGGTTTTTTTTTGCTGTTGACTGTTGATGACACTTAACCCTACTTTTTTTATACTAATGGTTGTAATGCACTAAATAATTTTTATTTAATTGAATAATGCACCATAGAACATAAAATAATAACATGCAAAAAAACAACAATGGTCTAGTATTAATGTTGTAATTCTAGGCTTAGCTGTACCTGCAGTAATATAGCCCAAAGGTACTGCAAATTTTAATAATAGCAAAATAATACTTATTTTCTACAGGAAAACATTACAATGCACAACTGCATTTCTAATTTCTCTCTTTCATAACTAAAATTAAAATGTGTCTGTATGTCTGTCATTATAAACAAACATGGTCAATTTTTGGCAAGACAATTAAGAATAATATTCTATATATGTTCACCAAGTTTCATTAAAATCCAACCATTTTTGACTGAGTTATAAGGCAAAAATAGTGTGAAAAATTGGTCCTTATGTTAACAGATAGGGATATTTTAACCTTGTTGTGACCTTGACCCTCCAAAAACTAATCACTTCTAAATTGGTCATAGCCCAAATGTATACCAACCTTTGTCCAAATTCGTTCAGTTATTTTCGAGAAATCTTGTTGCCAAACACAGACAAGAGTGAAAACATCCACCTTTAGTGGTGGAGGTAAACATTCATACAGAGCACAAACACAACATAACTGACCTAATTTAACAGTGCCTGACTCAGTCAGAAGGATATTTCCAGCCTTCACATCCCTGTGAATTCTCCCCATGGAATGGAGGTAATCCAGGCCTTCAAGAGCATCCTGACAGATGGCAGAAATTTCTTCCTCTTTAAGTGGCTTCTTGTGAACTTCACACACAAAAAAACAACTACTGTCAAGTATTGAGGATATTAACTGAGAAAAGAAATCACTGATAAATATCGAGGATAACTAAAAAATAATTTCTAAGTACTGAAGATATTATCTCTTCAAAAATTACTGTCAAGTATTGAGAACATTAAATTTAACAAATTACTTTCAAAAATTAAAAAGATTATCTCCAATTATTTTTGCTTCCGATTTTCCTTCAATTTGTAAAATATAGTCTAACATACAAAGTATTTTAATAAGAGATTACAAGATAAAATATA